GGGGACCTGCGGCAGAAAGCATTGTGGCTTGTATGCTCTGACAATGGAGGCCTTGGCATGCTGGGATGGCGTGGCGTTCGCGAGGGACATGGGACTGCAGATGCTCCACCTTGAAGCTGACAGCCAGGAACTAGTGAAGCTTTGGGAGGCGGGGACCAACCAAAGGTCGCGTATTGCGCTGATCATCAAGGAGATCCGAGAACTTAATAGCATGTGTTTTAGTGCTTTTAATATGATGTACACTAGCAGATCTTGTAATCGAGTTGCTCATACGCTAAGCCAAGCAGGTCTCTGGCGACAACAGGTTGGGCGAGTGGGTGGCAGTCTGCCCCAGCCTGTGTAGTTCACCTGTTGGCGGTTGATTGTAATCCTAATGCTTCATGATGAATGAAAATCCCTGAGTCGCAAAAAAACTCTTTTCATGCCCATCGGTAGCACCCCCACCGTTGCAATCGGCATTGCCACTAGTCCATCGTGTCTTAAGCTATTTTGAATTCGACACTTATGGATAACCATATAAGGCCTTCTGCAATGTGCTAACAGCTGAAACTAAAAGGTGGTCCACTGAAGAGAATGGGCATCACTCCTTTTGAGCTGTAGTGGTAGGCATCGCTTGCTAGATTCCACGGTACAAGTAAAATTGATATACAATAAGAGCAATGATGGCTTGAGAGGAGCACGAGATGAAGAGCATGTATTTTTTTTTTTGAAGCATATTTTTGGATTTGTTTAGTCAATGGGCACCGGATCTTGTACATTCATCGCTCCCAAATTTTCTGCATTGGACATCCTTAGTTGCAGTATACGCAGTGATGCTCAAACCTACTCCGTCCATTTGCAGCATCACTCTAAGCCAACACTGTGGAGGGCCTAGTGGTAATAACCACACCCCTCATCTCTAGACTCTTTGTGATTTGAACATTCATAAAAAAAAATCACGAATACAGGTGCCTAATATTTAGGATGCATGTAAAGAAGTACAATTTTGCTATACCGTGCCTGTTGAAAATTTTCTTTACCGCACCTTTTTATTTTCTTCTTTTCTTTTCTTTTCTGTTTCCCTTTTTTCTTCCTAAATACTCTATTTGTTTTCAATTATAAGATGTTTCGGCTTTTTTAAATATGTAGCTTTTACTATGTATTTAGACATATTATATATTTATTAGGTGCATAGTAAAATCTATATATCTAAAAAAAACAGAACGTCTTATAATTTGAAATGGAATGATAACATGCGTGGAAGAGAATGAGCATCAATTAAAGGGAATAAACGGCTCAAAATCTTCTCTCCCACATATTAGTTACTGTCAACATATAATGGATTTACATTCAGCTTATATAAAACTTCCTGAAAACCACCCGATTTTTTTATAAAAACATGCTCATAAAATCAAATGCAAGTGTATGAAGGAAGTTTTCACAGGGGTGCGGAGCAGACAATAAAAAAAACGAAACCAAGTACATCGCGTATAAATGCCTTTTTTTCCCCTGATGGCAGATACGGGAAGCACAAGGAAACTAAAAAACAATACCTGGATTATTCAAGAAACATCTACACACTAGTATGTATATATTCTAACATGATTTTAATTTGAGTATGAAAGGATTTGTACGAATTAAACGCAATTACAAGACAGACGAATTTAAAGCACCTTACACACTACTACACTAGCAGCTCTTTTCCTGTGACAAGATTAATTAAGCTAAACCAATTTACACGATCGGAAATTTCCCATGAACATATCAGAAAGCGTATTACCATGATTTATCCCATCTCAAACGCATTTGTTCATCAAATCGATCAGCCGACCAACGCATCCAACTTTAGTTGATTTGTGGAACCAAATAAGCAACCGATTCATTCATGCTCATGGCCGCCACGCCACGTATGTAAATCCTCGTCTCGGAGGTAGCTCAGGCATGCACGCACGACGTCGACGAGTTGCTGATCGATCAGTGGGATTTGCTTGGTCAAGTACACACGCCGGTGCTCGCCTAGGACGATGACGAGTCGGAGGCGGCGGCGTCGGGCTCCCGGATCTCGTCGATGCGCGCGATGACCGTCTTGAGGTCCCACCTCCGGTCGACGTCGGCGTCGCAGCAGGCCAGGCCGACCTGGAGCAGCTTCACCATGTCGGCCTCGCAGCCCCTGGCCCCCGTGATGTCCTTGTCGAACACCTCGCCGGTGCGCTCCTCCGTGACGACCGACTGCACCCACCCAGCCAGGTCGGCGTTGCCCTGCCGCCCCTGCCGGAGGTAGTTCGCCGGGAACTTGCCCGTGAGTATCTCCAGGATGAGGATCCCCAGGCTCCACACGTCGCTCTTCTTGGACGGCTTCCCTTGCGGCGCGATGCCCTCGGGCGCCTTATACGCCACCATCACCTGCGCCGCGATCTGCGCCGTCACCACGGGCACCAGCGCGTAGTCCGACAGCACCGCCTCGAACGCGCCGTCCAGCAGCACGTTCGAGGACTTGAGGTGCCCGTGCGGCACCGTCAGCATCGGCAGCTCGTCGTACAGGTGCGCCAGCCCCCGCGCCGCGCCCTTGATGATCCGCAGACGCTTCCCCCAGTCCAAGAGCGACCCTTTGTTACCTGATCATCATGAAGTTCAAGTTCGTCAGAATGAATCAATCACCCAGCTATATTTCATTTCATTTTCTTGTTCTAAGTATTGTAGGAGAGCACCATACCATGGAGGAGCTGCGCGAGGCTGCCATTGACGATGTAATCGGTAACGAGGAGCTTCTCCTCCTTCTTGTAGAGGTAGGCGACGAGAGGCAGGAGGTTGGGGTGGGCGAGGCGGCCGAGGCGGCGCATGTGCTCCGAGAAGTCCTCCCGCCCGACGCCGTTCATGTCCTTGAACCGCTTCACCACCACGGCGGGGCCCTCGCAGAGCGTCGCCTTGTACGACGACCCGAAGTTGCCGCTGCCCAGCACCTCGGCGGACGCCCGGAGCAGGTCCTCGATCTCGAACCGGGTGCGGCCCTCCTGGATGAACACCAGCCGCCCGTGCTCGTCGCGGCGCGGGCGCTTCCCCGCGGCGGCGGCGGCGGCCCCACCCCGGCCGCTCCGGCCGTGGCAGCGGCGCGCGGCTGGCTGGTGCTGGCCGCGTTCTCGATGTTGACGGCCGGCGCGGTGTTGAGCTTCGGGTTGGAGGGCGTCTGGTCGCCGCTGCCCAGCCTCTCGGCGGCCGCGCGCCTCGGCCTTCTTTTCCGGCGGCCGAGGGCGCCCGAGGCGATGCCCGTGGCGCAGAGCAGCACGCCGAGGATGATGAGCGCGATGGCGATCTTCATCATGGTCGACATGCCGGTGCGCGGCGACCCCGAGCTGTCGCATTCCACCTCTAGTGGTTTGCCGCAGAGGAGCTTGTTGCCTGAAACGCATGCAGATCGTCGTAGTTCGTCAACAAGACATCGAGAGGATTTCGCCGGAAAGAAAACTAAAGATAGATGAGGCGAGCGAGAATCGATCGATCGATATGCTACCTGCGAACATGCTTGCGTTGAAGCGGCTGAGCCCTACCGGAATGGGTCCGGACAGGTTGTTGTTGGAGACGTCGACGAACCTGAGCTCCGGCTGGGAGAAGTCCGGCAGCGGGCCTTCGAAGTGGTTGTTGGCGAGCGACAGCTCCAGCAGGCGCGGCGAGGTGATGGACTCCGGGACGGGCCCGGAGAACTCGTTGGAGGAGAGGTGCAGCTTGCGGAGGCCGCGCATGGGGTGGAACGTGCCCTCGGGGATGGCGCCCGACAGGCGGTTTCTTGACAGGTAGAGCATCTTGAGCACGGCGAGCGCGGACACGTTGGGGAAGGCGCCGGTGAGCGCGTTGTCGGAGAGGCTGAGTGCGCGAAGGCCCGGGAGCACTGCGAGGACGGCCAGGTCGGGCGCGCTCCCCGCCAGGCCGAGCCGCTCCAGCTGCAGGCCCTGCACGGAGCCGTTGCCGTGGCACGACACGCCGTACCAGGAGGAGGAGTTGCCCCGGCACGGGCCCGGGGTGCCCCAGTTCCGCAGCGGGCCCGGCGGCGCGCCGTCCGGCCTGCGCAGCGTGTCCCGGAACGCGATCAGCACGTCGCCCTCCTGGACGCCCTCCGCGGACGGCGACAGGAGGAAGGTAGAGGCGAAGGCGAAGACGAGGGCGAAGGCGACGCGGACGATGTGGCCGTGCGGCCGCGGCCGCGCCATGGGGACGCGGGCGGCGCCGAGCGAGTCGTCCGACGAGACGAGACGAACCGAGCCGAGGCGAGCCGGTGTCTTCACGCGCGCGGCGGTGGTCGCCTTGCCGGAGGGGCTGTGACCGCTCGCCGCATGCACGCCCGCCCGTGGGCGTCGTCGTGGGAGGAGGCGAGGGCGAAGCTACGCGTCCCGCGTGTGCATGGGTCAAGAGAATGGAGGGGAGAGAGGAGGTGGCGGGGAGAGGAAATGTGGTGATGGGTCGCGACGCCGGGTGGGGAGGGAGGTAGAGAGCCTAAGAATAGGCGGGAGAAGAGACGGCAGACACAGCAGCGTCTGTTGTGTCTGTTGCTGCGGCCGGTTTCTGTGTCATTCGTGGTTGGAGTTGGCAGCGAGAGCAGGTTTTAGCCTTGGCCAGTTCATGGTTCATTTTTGTCAGCAACAACAGATGCCATGTCCCCAGGACACCAACCTCGCAACATTCTGGTTTAATCCCAAATTACTACAGCCTCATCACCCACCCATCTTATATCTCACATGTGAATATGTGATGCATTTGAGAACATCTGCTACTGCTACCAAATTGAGGCATCTGATCTCTCACCATCAGGGATTTTCAGGGCCAGAACTGAAAGGAACACCAGACAACAGATGTGAGCATCTGATCTCACTAATCAAGGGCCAGAAGCCCATAACAGCGGTGCTGTCAAGGCACCTAACAGTGTCTGCTATAAACCCTACACCACACGGGCTGGGCGGTCGTCATACAGTGCTGCATACCGGCGATCATCTAATCCTCCAAGGGAGGCCTGTGTGGCTGCGTCTCGTGCATCAGGTCATACCGGCGATGTTCTCGAACCCAGTTTCCTTGACCAGCTCGGTGAATTGGTTCAGGTAGCTGACAAGCCCGCCTAGCGACTTGATCAGCTCATCGGCTTTTTGGCGGGTGGCCTCCATTGCATCAGGCAGCATCAAACCACCAAGAGCATGGTTCTGGCCACCATCTTGGTCAGCCTCTTCATTCAGTATGGTGTGGATACGCTGCGCGTTCTCGTGTAACTTGTTTGCCAGCTCCCATGCAATATTTTGGCTTTTGTTGGGTTCAATACTTGTCCCGGTCTCTTGCCCTTCTACACAAATATATTGTGAAGAAAGTAAGGCAGCAGCAAAAAATATGACAAGACAAAAGGAACAAGAATACATCAGAGTTGGAACTTTGAACTATAGGGAACTCGTATTGTGCTGGCTCAGAGCAGCATAAAATATAATCCTTTTCGACACCAGGAACAAATGTATATTCGATGAACATAAATGAGTTCTTAAAGCAAACCATCTATCTAACATGATTGTGCATGTATTATCAAACAACGCAATATTGTGTTACTTGGCGACTGATGCTCATTTGCTACAAACATTGGCTAATTGATACTATACATGAAACTATATGTATGCCAAAAGTTTCCCAAAAATACAGGACAAGAGACTTTAAGCAGGTCCTTCAAAAGTTAGACAGTCTAAGCTTTGATATGAATATCTTGAGGACTATAAGCTACAAAAAAGTTGTCCAATGCAACTTTACAAAACATAAATCATTTTTAATTGCTTCACCTTACCATGGCACCAAATCAAAAGCTGACTGCACAAAATTGCTTCATGATTTTATAGACCACAACCACAAGACAGTAACAAGGGATTAAATGACGTGTAAGATATCACAATACATTAGAGAGAGCAAATCTAGTGAAGCTAAAAGTTAAAAATCTTTTTCTATTATTTTTAAAAAAAAAAGGTGGTAAGTTTTCTCCTCCTGCCAATGAGTTGGACTTCAAGTTTCATTTTACACAGATATAGGACATGCCTCCCTAGTCCCTACATCTGATAATTTCTTGACGATTTAAAAAAAAATTGTGGCTAGTTTTCATGGTTCATCAACACTTACCTAGTTTCCCTAGCTATTTTGCATACGTGAAAACTATAACAGACCAATGAGGCTGTGCTATCCCGCACTGCCCACTGAGGTGTGGACATGACAAAACAGGAAAAGATATCGCAATTGGGCACTACAATGGGTCATGAGAAAGGATGAACATGAGCCTTATTTTCCCCAATAACCAGTACAACAGAAATACAGTCCCTGAAGTTTTGTCTTCTTATGATGATATGATCATTCCTAATAGCGGTATTGGCATATTTGACTGACATCAAATTTCACTGATGAATCCGCTAAAACCAAAACCATATTAGGCCAATCACTGCATATCAAATGCCCTGCTGAATCACCCCATTTTTTTCTGTTATAAATCCCCCTACTTCATAAGCTTCATAACCAGACTACATCTTTAGTAAGCAGAAGCAAGCTATCGGCAATCATAAGCACACGAAACTGAATCAGCACATAAGTGGATGATTTGCACATACCCAAGTCATTTGAAGCATCAGCATTGCCCCCATCCTCCTGCATTTCTTCTCCATCCTCATCGAGGTCTTCCTCCTCCTCCTTCTCTTCCTGTGGCTCCTCCTCCTCCTCCTGTCCCGCAGATGCATCCTCCTGCACCTGCTCTTTTCCAACCTCAGCTTCACCGGAGTCACCGCCGTCCTGCACACCCACCTCGACGCCGGCACCGCCGGCAACCAAGCCCTCCACCTCCTCCCCACCCGCGGCACCGCCAGCGGCATCCGCAAGCAGCGCCTCCTCGACCCGTATGAGCGCGTCCATGGCCCCATACACCTCGGCGTCGAACTCCGCAGGAAGGCCAGCCTTCCTCCGCACCGCCGCGCCCATCTCCCAGTACGTTCCCCCGGTGCGCACCTCCCAGCGGCGCACGGCCCCGTACTCTGCCGCCAGCGCCTCCCAGCGGCGGCGGCACTCCCCGGCGAAGGCCTCGGACGCAGCGAGGTTCTCGGCGACCATGGCCCACTTCTGGAACGCGGAGACGGAGCGGGACCAACCGTCGTCCACGGCCGCGACCTGGGCGACGAGCGCGAGCGTCTCGGCGGGCGTCCACTCCGGCGCGCCGCCCGAGCGGGTGCCGCGCGGGCTCGGCGGCGCCGGGCCCAGCGGGGCAGGAGCGGGGCGGCGTTTGGCGACGGGGGAGGGCGGCGTGTTGTTGGTCTTGGCCGGGGAGTGCTGGGCCGGGAGCGCCTGGACCAGGGGCGGCGGGAGGGTGTTGCAGTTCGCCGGGAGCGCCTGGATGACACACGGCTGGTCCGCAGCGGCGGGATCCATGGGGCTGGGCACGGCGCGGCGACGCCGTCGAGGGCGGCGGGGCGACACGCGGGAGGGAGCTCGAGACCCGAGTGAGTGTGCGCACTGTGTGCTTGCTGTCGTGGAGCCGGGAGCCGAGACGAGAGTGGCCTGCACGTTCCAGTTCTAAGGCTTTTTATCTGTGTATTCTTAAAAAAGATGTTATATTCTTGTGTACTCTTTAAAAGTTGGTTGTCATCCTCACTTGAATTTTTCTTTTCCCTCACGTCATTCCATCGGTATTTGCTCCTAATGGTGGGTAACGGCTCTGGAAAATAACTCAGTTACCTTTGGGCTTGTATGGGCGTCTGAACTTTTTCGTTTCCCCTATGTCATTGCCAGGTCAGTTGGCTTTGGCGTCGAGAGAGACGCCATTGTTATTGCCTAAAGGACGAGATTTGGCGCCAAAGAGCCCGCCCTTCTCCTCCTATATATTGGCGCCAAAGGCGTGGAGTTGCCACTCTCCCTCTCTCTCTTTGTGAGCATGTCACAAGGTAGCAAAGCAGACTATGGTGGTGCGCCAAGGCGACGATATGTGCTTTGCTCGAACTGCAATGTGCTCGTCAATCACTTCATCTCGACGACTGGAGGCCAACCCCAACCGAGCCTTTCACAAGTGCCCTTATTTCATGGTTTGTGCTTCTCTCTTTGGTCAACATTGTTTGTCTTTTTCCTCTTTGTTCGATCTCTATGTTGGATTTTAGATTGGAGGATGTCAATAATATCGGTGGGAGGATAAGATGTGGGAGACGGCTACACCAATCCAAGCAGTTTCCATCAGAGGAAGTGGCAAAGCGACACCAGTGGTTTTCCCACAGCTCCTCCTCTGGCCATCTTGTAGGAAGGTTCCCAGATAGCTGTAGTTGAAGGCCATGTACCAATGGACAAGAGGGTGCAGCAGCAGCTTAGGAGGATTGAAAAACTTGTGTATTTGTGCTTGGTGCTTGCTTTGTATGCTATTTTCAAGAAGTAGGCTGCTGCTGTGTGTGTGTGAGTTTTTATGGATGTATGGATCAATCAATGCATAAATGAATAGATGAATGAATGAATGTTTCTCATGGTTCATAACAACATTAAGACAAAGAAAACTAACAATTCACTCATCCGTCACATAACTGGTAGCATAATGTGTTTCATCACCAACAGCATATGATGTTTGATCACATCACTTACAGTTTACACATAGAAACTAAATTACTAGAGTTTATTCACATCACTAACATGAACCACAATTCAGACAAGGTTTTTCATGACAGCCCCAAAAGAACATCAAAGCACCAAAAGATCATGCGTCAGGGCCAAAAAAAAGAACATCACAGCACCAATAGAACATCACTAGAGTTTCTTACTGCAGCTTCTTTGGTGTCAACTTCTTCTTCACTGCTCCCTTATTTCTTTTTTGTGTGCATTGTGGATCCACAGGCTCAAGTGGGGAGGTCATCAACTGGCTGGTTGGGCTGGGTGTCCACTATAATGGAGTCCTCATTGAAAAGAACCATATGCACAGATAAGAGTGGGACTGGATCATTTGAACCAGTTCCAGACCTGACAGTCAACAGTATACATTAGATTTCCATCTGGTTGAAATGAAAAGGATGAGGCAAAGAACAGGTACCTTGTAGACACACTAGTAGGAGCTGAGGTTGAACTAGTGGTGGCTAGTGCTGCACCCTTGTGTTTCTGTGAGGAGGTTGAAGAAGAGGATGACTTCATCTTCCTTTTGTTATGGATGGCATTTGACAATGCCTCATTGAATGGGAACTGCATCTGGGATGGCTGGGCCACCACAAGACTCCTCTCTGTGTTGCTTGCTGCAGCCTTCTTCAACCTCTTCTTTGGTGTGCCCCTACAAAGAAAAATAGATTAGCTTCTATGTACATGCAAAGGTAGCTATATGTATAGGACAACAGATTACCTTGCTGCCTCCATTGCAGCTATGTGTTCTGGGTTCCCATTCTTACAAGTGTACCAGTGATGGCCCAACTGATGACAGATGGGGCATTCATGTTTCTTTGACTTCCTCTGGCTGCTGCCTCCCTCAAGTGCAGATTTTATCCTATTCTTTCTCCTACCTTCACCTGTGGACTTAAGAAGAGGAGGGTTCAAGAAAAAGCCTGGTTCTACCTCTAGCCACATGCTCTTGTCAAGTATGCTAGGGATGGAGCCGTCATATACAACTCTGAAATTGTTGACAGAGAAGTACTCATCCACATAGTCTTCAAGCTTTGCGCCAGGAATTGAGGTAATGTATGCAATGGCATGCTTGCATGGGATTCCTAACCCCTGCCAAACCCTACAAGAACAGGTCATGTCTGCTAGGTTGACCACAAACCTGAACCTAGTTCCTTGCAGACCTTTAGCACATAGCTCTGCCACACCTTCAGGTGAGGCTGTGATGACATCTATGTCCAAGTTGTAAGTGTCTTCCCTAAGCCTCTGCATGATATGGGGCATAATTTTGCCATTGAGCTTAGCAGCTACCCTCTTCCTATGGTTTCAGTTGATCAAAAGCATCTGCCTTATAGTGTCCAGCAAGTCATCCAGGTGCTTACACTTTTCAGGTTTGACCCAGTTGTTGAAGGACTTAGTCAAATTGTTTGTCACATAGTCAACCTTTGACAGTGTGGTGTACTGGCTCCTGGTCTAAAGCTTCTTGTGATTCTCTTGCAAGTACTTCATTGCTTCTGGTTTGGCTGCAGCCATTGCTTAATGCTTCTTAAACATGTATGGACTCCATGAATATGAGGAAGCCCATAAGTGATCATCAAACACTCTACCACTATACCTCTTCTTGAAATTCTATACTAAGTGATACATACATTCTCTATGTTCAGTTGTTAGAAAAACTTGACTGACTCCATTCATTACTGCCTGCCCACAGTCTGTATGGAATGTCATGCCTTCTGGAGTGCCTATTGTCTCCTTCAATCTCTCCATGAACCAGATCTAATTTTTATTGGTTTTAGAGTCAATCACACTAATAGCAACTGGAAACATCCAGTTGTGGGCATCTACTACACATGCAACACACAACTGTCCCCTAAATCTCCCTGTCAAAAAGGTACTATCTACCGCAAGATATGGTTTACATCCCCTAAGAAATCCATCAACACATGCTTTCAGAGCAAAAAATAGCCTGTTAAACCTGACCTTATTATTGATGGTGTGATGATCAATGACAAGAACTGAACCAGGACTAGATTGTTCTAACTGGGCCTTAAACCTAAATAAATTGTGGAAACTCTTGCCCCAAGGCCCATAAAGTTGATCCATTGCAAGGTATTTACCTTTGTACACTTTCCTGTAGCTGATCTGAACCTTGTACAGATCCTTCAGCCTCCTTTGTAGCTCTTTTACACCAACATTTCCATCCTCTTTCAACCAATCAATTACCTTGCTGCACACCCAAAACTGACTAAGTCCAACACATGATCCTTGTCTCCTAGTGCTCTGGCAGCCATTTTCATGCTCATGTGGGTTCACCTTCACCTGGAAAAAAAGTTGAAAAGAAACACATGTTAGCAGCTAGGTACATGCAAGGAAAACAGGTAGCAGTCAATACCACAAATTGAACTAACACATCACCTGAATGTCATGTCCATCAGCTGAAGTTGAGGCATGCAGTCTCCATGGGCATCCCTCATTCCTTAGAGAACAGTGCACCGTATACCTCCCTGTATAACTCTTGTCAATTTCATAGTTGAACTCATGTTTAACAGCATGACTAGCTAAAACAATCTTAAAAGAAGCCATATCTGGGTAGATAGTTCCCACTGTCATAGGAGGGTCATCTTTGTCATATTCAACATCAGGAAATTGAAATTGCTCAGGCTCCCTATCAGCAACTTCCTCATCAGAGGATTCATCTATTTCTACTTCCTCATCTTCCTCGTCACTGGTTTCATCATCCCTATCAGCAACTTCCTCATCAGAGGATTCATCTATTTCTTCTTCCCTTTCTTTACTCCTCCCTTGGCTCTGAGAACTGGTAGGAGGAGGTGGAGGGTGGTTGGGACCAAGATCAATATACAAGCCTTCATCATCAATCCCCCATATGTTCATTCATTGGATTTGGGTTAGCCAGGAACTCAGGTTGGCTTGGTTTGGGTGGCTTAGACTTGGATGTTTGCCTTGGTTTGGGTGACTGAGACTTGGATGGCTGCCTTGCTTTGGGTGGCTGAGACATAGATGGCTGGCTTGGTTCTGCTATGCTTGGAGAAACAATTGAAGGAGTGAATGGGGGCTCAACAGATTTCTTTGGGCTACCAGACTCCCAATCAGGAAGCACAGGCTAAGTACCAAGACTATGATATGCAACAGTCAACAAGCATGTTCTGGTTGCCCTATTTTTTTTCAAACATTGCTAGCATCTCTTGGTCATTGCGCATAGGTATGTGAACTTTACTATGCATGCACCAGTAAAACAATGTGGCTACATCACCATAGCTAGGAGGATACTTGTCAACCAAATCTTCCATAAGCCCAGTTAACAAAGTTCTGTCTGCATCCACCACTTCATTCACAGAAAACCACTTTGCACGACAATTGGGACCAACAATCCGCATTTCTAGGTTGTAACTACTGTTTGGGTCCATCCTACAGATGAACAAGGAGCACGTAATCAATAAACCCTAAACACGATTCGGTAGCGCAATACACTAATGCAATCAACATCAATACAAGGAGGGGCGAAGTCAAGGAGGGAGGAGGAGCGGTACTCACTCTTCCCGGAACCAATCCGGCCTCTCGCTGGGTCCGTTCCACGGCATGCCTGCTCCGCCCGACCGTCTTGCTCCACGGGGCTAGGATTTCGAGGGCGGGCCGCCAACACCGACTGCCGCCGTCTCCAGATCCACCGCCGCTAGGGTTCGCTGCCGCGTCCTCCCGCGCTCGGGTGAGAGAGTGAGGAACGAGAATGGGGAGAGACTGAGAGAGAGGCTCGGGTGAGACTGAAGGAGATGCGGCCCAATATGTCAGTGACC